CACACACACACACTTCCATGGGAGGGGGGAGGGGGGGTAGCGGGTAGGGGTGCGCATTGAGGAACCTGGCTTTGGGGCAGCAGGGAGAGTAAATTCGGCCCTGAGTATACACACAGTTAGAATTTCAAACGAAATCGAATTCAGAACGTTCGAACTTTCTAATCATTAATGGGGTCAAGTGGACAATCGTTTTCGACCACAGTAACGAAAAAATTCGAAGGAGCATGTTGGGAACAATTTCCTCAATCAAACGAATTTGTAACAGTGAATGTGGTTTTCTTCGGAAGATTAAAATTAAACGAAATTTCGAACTACGATCGGCAAGTTTCTGATGCCAGTATCAAACGTTCGCAGGGGACATTTTATAGGAACGGTCGTTCGGAATTCTAACCGTATATTCCCTACACAGCCTCTTCTGTCATAGAAAACCTGCCGACAATTCATTTTAAACAGCTTCACTTCCACTTTAAAGCTTTTATGAGAGTTTAGTGATGGAGTTTCTGCCTTTATCATTCATCACATGCAATCTGCACACTTGTTGGGACTTGCCGGATCCACGTTGGAGGAATTTTGTTGTAGGGATGCCTGTCCCTCACTCCCCCCTTCCCGGGGATCACCGGCTCCTCTTGGCTGTCACTCATGTCCCTGGCTGCTCCATGTATGCCCCGTGCCATGGCAGGCTCCCAGCATGTGAATGGATCTGGCTCCGCCCCCTTCTCCGCTTATAACCTCTCCGATCCCCGGAGCTGCCGGCAGTGCAGCTGGTGTCACCCGGACAGACATGAGCGGGCACCGGACGCAGGAGGGCAGCGCCGGGCACCATGGACAGCAACTCGGCGGGCTGTGACAACTACACCATGTGGGACCCCAACATGTCCAACGTGGTCCGGGAGAGGAGCCGGGCCAACCAGAGCCAGGACTGCGGCGGGTCGGTGTCGGTGGCGTTCCCGCTGTCCATGATGATCACCGGGCTGGTGGGCAATGCCCTGGCCATGTCCCTGATCTACAGGTCGTACCGGCAGAAGGAGAGTAAGAGGAAGCATTCGTTCCTCCTGTGCATCGGATCCCTGGCGCTCACCGACTTCACCGGGCAGCTGCTCACCAGCCCCATCGTCATCTCAGTCTACCTGGCCAACAGGCAGTGGGGCCGGGTGGACCCGTCCGGGCACCTGTGCCAGTTCTTCGGGTTCAGCATGACCATGTTCGGACTGTGCCCCCTATTCATCGCCAGCACCATGGCCAACGAGAGGACCCTGGCCATCCGATCCCCGCACTGGTACTCCAGCCACATGAGGAGCCGGGCCACCGTCACCGTCCTACTGGGCATCTGGGGCGCCGGACTGGGCTTCGCCCTGCTGCCGCTGGCGGGGTTAGGGCAGTACGCCTTGCAGTGGCCGGGCACCTGGTGCTTCATCAGCACGGACCACCATAGCCCCGGCAACGTGGTGTTCGCGGCCACCTTCGCCACGCTGGGGCTCCTGTCACTGGCCACCACCTTCAGCTGCAACCTGGCCACCATCAAAGCCCTGGTGAGCCGCTGCAAGGGACGGAGCTCGGCTTCCAAGACCAGCAAGCAGTGGGAGAGGATCACGATGGAGACCATGTTCCAGCTGATGGGGATCATGTGTGTGCTCTTTGCCTGCTGGTCGCCGCTGCTGGTAGGTGAATGCTGATCCTCCTATTCCATAACTTGTTGCTTTTCTTCTTCTTACAGAATGGACATATTTCTAGAAATGAGAGTTTATGATGGGGGTTGTAGTTCTGCAAAGTCCCCCTATGATCCCAGTGGCGGCAGACTAGGCACTGTTCAGATAAGTGTATGGTGTTGGGGGGAATCTGTCATTTCCATTGGTGTATAGATCAGCTTTGTATTACTTCAGGTCTCAGGAAACAAGTTCCAGACAAGGATCGCTGCCTCTTGTAGTTCCACAACCCGAAAGAATAACAGCACCACCCTCTCTCCCCTATGCAGTTCATTCCATGTAGCAGAAGTGTGCCAGTTCTAGGACAAGAGAGATTGGGGATACAGGACTCAGTGCTGAACAAGAGTTTTAGTGGGCGCATGTGTCGGAGAGGAGTGTGGAGGGTATGACGGGGGGCAGTATGTACAGGAGAGTAGTGTGGAGGGTATGACGGGGCAGTATGTACAGGAGAGTAGTGTGGAGGGTATGATAGTGGGCAGTATGCACAGGAGAGGAGTGTGGAGGGTATGACAGGGGGCAGTATGTACAGGAGAGGAGTGTGGAGTGTATGATAAGGGGCAGTATGCACAGGAGAGGAGTGTGGAGGGTATGACGGGGGCAGTATGTACAGGACAGGAGTGTGGAGGGTATGACAGGGGGCAGTATGTACAGGAGAGGAGTGTGAAGGATATGACGGGGGCAGTATGTACAGGAGAGGAGTGTGGGAGGGTATGACAGGGGGCAGTATGTACAGGACAGGAGTGTGGAGGGTATGACAGGGGGCAGTATGTACAGGAGAGGAGTGTGGAGGGTATGACGGGGGGCAGTATGTACAGGAGAGGAGTGTGGAGGGTATGACGGGGGGCAGTATGTACAGGAGAGGAGTGTGGAGGGTATGACAGGGGGCAGTATGTACAGGAGAGGAGTGTGGAGGGTATGACAGGGGGCAGTATGTACAGGAGAGGAGTGTGGAGGGTATGACAGGGGGCAGTATGTACAGGAGAGGAGTGTGGAGGGTATGACAGGGGGCAGTATGTACAGGAGAGGAGTGTGGAGGGTATGACAGGGGGCAGTATGTACAGGAGAGGAGTGTGGAGGGTATGACAGGGGGCAGTATGTACAGGAGAGGAGTGTGGAGGGTATGACAGGGGGCAGTATGTACAGGAGAGGAGTGTGGAGGGTATGACAGGGGGCAGTATGTACAGGAGAGGAGTGTGGAGGGTATGACAGGGGGCAGTATGTACAGGAGAGGAGTGTGGAGGGTATGACAGGGGGCAGTATGTACAGGAGAGGAGTGTGGAGGGTATGACAGGGGGCAGTATGTACAGGAGAGGAGTGTGGAGGGTATGACAGGGGGCAGTATGTACAGGAGAGGAGTGTGGAGGGTATGACAGGGGGCAGTATGTACAGGACAGGAGTGTGGAGGGGATGACAGGGGGCAGTATGTACAGGGGAGGAGTGGGGAGGGTATGACAGGGGGCAGTATGTACAGGGGAGGAGTGGGGAGGGTATGACAGGGGGCAGTATGTACAGGGGAGGAGTGGGGAGGGTATGACAGGGGGCAGTATGTACAGGGGAGGAGTGGGGAGGGTATGACAGGGGGCAGTATGTACAGGGGAGGAGTGGGGAGGGTATGACAGGGGGCAGTATGTACAGGGGAGGAGTGGGGAGGGTATGACAGGGGGCAGTATGTACAGGGGAGGAGTGGGGAGGGTATGACAGGGGGCAGTATGTACAGGGGAGGAGTGGGGAGGGTATGACAGGGGGCAGTATGTACAGGGGAGGAGTGGGGAGGGTATGACAGGGGGCAGTATGTACAGGGGAGGAGTGGGGAGGGTATGACAGGGGGCAGTATGTACAGGGGAGGAGTGGGGAGGGTATGACAGGGGGCAGTATGTACAGGGGAGGAGTGGGGAGGGTATGACAGGGGGCAGTATGTACAGGGGAGGAGTGGGGAGGGTATGACAGGGGGCAGTATGTACAGGGGAGGAGTGGGGAGGGTATGACAGGGGGCAGTATGTACAGGGGAGGAGTGGGGAGGGTATGACAGGGGGCAGTATGTACAGGGGAGGAGTGGGGAGGGTATGACAGGGGGCAGTATGTACAGGGGAGGAGTGGGGAGGGTATGACAGGGGGCAGTATGTACAGGGGAGGAGTGGGGAGGGTATGACAGGGGGCAGTATGTACAGGGGAGGAGTGGGGAGGGTATGACAGGGGGCAGTATGTACAGGGGAGGAGTGGGGAGGGTATGACAGGGGGCAGTATGTACAGGGGAGGAGTGGGGAGGGTATGACAGGGGGCAGTATGTACAGGGGAGGAGTGGGGAGGGTATGACAGGGGGCAGTATGTACAGGGGAGGAGTGGGGAGGGTATGACAGGGGGCAGTATGTACAGGGGAGGAGTGGGGAGGGTATGACAGGGGGCAGTATGTACAGGGGAGGAGTGGGGAGGGTATGACAGGGGGCAGTATGTACAGGGGAGGAGTGGGGAGGGTATGACAGGGGGCAGTATGTACAGGGGAGGAGTGGGGAGGGTATGACAGGGGGCAGTATGTACAGGGGAGGAGTGGGGAGGGTATGACAGGGGGCAGTATGTACAGGGGAGGAGTGGGGAGGGTATGACAGGGGGCAGTATGTACAGGGGAGGAGTGGGGAGGGTATGACAGGGGGCAGTATGTACAGGGGAGGAGTGGGGAGGGTATGACAGGGGGCAGTATGTACAGGGGAGGAGTGGGGAGGGTATGACAGGGGGCAGTATGTACAGGGGAGGAGTGGGGAGGGTATGACAGGGGGCAGTATGTACAGGGGAGGAGTGGGGAGGGTATGACAGGGGGCAGTATGTACAGGGGAGGAGTGGGGAGGGTATGACAGGGGGCAGTATGTACAGGGGAGGAGTGGGGAGGGTATGACAGGGGGCAGTATGTACAGGGGAGGAGTGGGGAGGGTATGACAGGGGGCAGTATGTACAGGGGAGGAGTGGGGAGGGTATGACAGGGGGCAGTATGTACAGGGGAGGAGTGGGGAGGGTATGACAGGGGGCAGTATGTACAGGGGAGGAGTGGGGAGGGTATGACAGGGGGCAGTATGTACAGGGGAGGAGTGGGGAGGGTATGACAGGGGGCAGTATGTACAGGGGAGGAGTGGGGAGGGTATGACAGGGGGCAGTATGTACAGGGGAGGAGTGGGGAGGGTATGACAGGGGGCAGTATGTACAGGGGAGGAGTGGGGAGGGTATGACAGGGGGCAGTATGTACAGGGGAGGAGTGGGGAGGGTATGACAGGGGGCAGTATGTACAGGAGAGGAGTGTGGAGGGTATGACAGGGGGCACCACACATGCAGTCCATGATTACGTCCTCCAGCTCCATAACTGATGGTCCATACCTGGGGCTGGAGGAACAGTCTGCAGGAGCCAGAGCATTGCACCCACGATCCACGAATCACAGTTGCAATGCTTTGCAGGCTTCAGCGCAATACATAAATAAATGTACATTTTGTATCTTTCTATGTGTGCACGTATTCATTGTTTGCAAATATAGAATATGCCTTTAATAGAAACGTGCGCCCGCCGTGTGTATTAGCTGTCAGGGGTGGAGCGGGCGCAGACAGACTTCCACTGACTCCCAGTTAAGCACGGCAGCCAGGTTTAGGAGATCAGCTGATTTGCATACTCTCCGTCCTCCTGCCCGCAGAAACATTGGCATCAGTTATATTCAGAGATCTGAACGTCTCTGTTGTTAGGAAATATAGAAACAATTTTCTTAGAAAAACACACCAAACATAAATAGAAATGACGTCTGCGCCACAACTCATCCATCTCACTCATCCATCTCACTCATCATCTACAAATAATCTTGTCACTGTCAGCAGATTTCACTCTAACACCCGAGTATCATAGTCATCTAGTGGTGCCAGTGCACCCCGAGTCACTGACTTCAGATCAGGAGTTGTGCATTTGCTGCGTCTTCACTGTCCGCATGCTTTGTTCTAGGTCAGTGAGTCAGAAGGTTGTGCAATCAGAAGATCAGGGATGACTGCCAGGCAATTAGCATTTGCGAAAGGAAAGGAAGGACGTTATGGCAGTGTCTGTATATTTTCATTGGAATTAGGGTTAGTTTAGGAGGTTAGGATAAGTTTTGGGGGGTTGGAATAAGATCAGGGGCAGGAAATTTAGAGTATTTTTTTTCCACAAACACATTATACAGTCCTAGTGCTTGTAGTGTTTTTTTTCTTTCTTTTTTTCTTTCTTTTTTTCTTTCTTTCTTTCTTTCTCTTTTTCCTTTCTTTTCTCTCTTTTCTTTCTTCTCTCCTTTCTTTCCTTCTTTCTTTCTCTCTCTTTTTCCTTTCCTTTCTTTTCTTTCTTCTTTATTTATTGTTTTCTCCCTCTTTCCTTCTTTCTCTCTCTTTACTTATTCATCTCTCCCTCTCTCTCTCTCTCTCCCTCTCTCTCTCTCTCTCTCCATGAGCTGTAAGCCATAATCATCACAATGATGACAAATCACGGCTTGAATTATCTTGCTTTGCATGTAATGAGTCTATCTCATATATTAGTTTCACCTTTTAAGTTGCATTAGTGAAATAAATGAACTTTGCACAATATTCTAATTATTCGAGTTTCACCTGTATACAGCTTCTCAATGACAAGTGGCATGAGCACCATTTAGATTCATAGGCAAGTTGTATGATTTAAGCTGAAGGCACTGGATCAGGAACTTGCAAACTCTTCAGCTGGGACGTGCACAGCAGAGACAATCACAATGACAGAAAAACAAACAAATGGAATTAAAAAGTGACCCTGCTCTATTATTTGACTGTGTATCTAGTGTATTTTTGTTATTGAGGGTTTAGTTACTGTATACTTCAAAGCGGAACCCAAGGAATTATATATTTTTTTAAAACTTACATTAAGCCAGCTTGGTTACATGTAATTAGCTATGTGTCACATCCGGAGGGTTGCTGGGGATGCCGAAATTTACTGT